AGACTTCAACAGTTGGCTTCCCAGTGCTGCTGATGTGCTGGGAGGCCAAGAAAATATAGAAACCATCATTCCACATCCAAAGAGAACAGACTAGCATGAAAGTGATCTACACAAACGCTAACACGTGCATAAAACAAGTGTAAGACTTGATTTATGAGAAAGATCTCAAAGAGGGAAATAAGCATATATACACACACAAACACCCTGACTGTATCTGAAAGCTTCTTCTCTTGAACCACCCATGTTCCCACACTTAGTAGTGACTATCAGAAACCATGACAAAAACTCAAAAGCAGTTTCCCTTTAGTAACATTTTTTGGAGGTGTGTTGAAATTTTCTACTTATATAAGAGATTGGTAATAGACTAGTTTGTACTTCATAGGAAAAGCACTGTTACCTTGCACATATTTGTAATATCTCTGACTTTTAAACTTTATTATGGAAATTGAGACTTTAAAAAGCACAGCTAAAATAAAGACTTATGCCCAAGTCTTATGAAAACTTATATGACAGTATCACAAATCGAGTTGGCGCATAAAGGAATTCAGCTCTTCAGCGTTCCTTCTCAAGACAATTAACCTTGTTGATATTCCTTAAATGTGCTAAATAGTTCCAGGCTCCCTTTCAATCACTCTGCTTCAGACAAAATGTAACATCTACATTTAATGACAGTTTTTCCTCAGAATAATTTCCAACATATTAATTAAATGCATTTTTTTTTTTTTTTTTGGCAACAGGGTCAACTTCTTTGAGTTTCCAAATACTTGTAATAAAAGTGATGCAGCTTTTAGAAAACTACAGCATTTTGCTTCCAACTGAAGTTAAGGAAATGCATAGATATACACAGTGAGTAAGAGAGGCCACATAAAACAGAGCATCATGTCATTTTCCTGCTTAGGAGTGTCATCGCTCATATGATCTCTAAAACCAAAAATAACAGCTTAATATTTATACAGGGATTTTAAGGAACCAGTATATACTAGAACTATACAAGCACAATTTTATTTAATCCTCACTTTAAGTATATCAAGTAGGCATGAGAATCATCTCCATCCTTCAAATGAAGAAACTGAAGCTGGGAGCAGTTCAGTGACTTGTCATCGGTCGTACATCGAGAAGGTGAAGGAGCCAACATTTGAACCCATGCCGTCTCACTCTAGTGCTCTTTGTTAAATGACACTGGCTCTGCCAGTCATGATACAGTGTTTTCTAAACTGCATGTTTTACAGTTTCTGATACTACCATTTACATTGTTTCGTAATCAATAAGGGTCACACTGAGAAAACCGAACTGTATTAGAGTGCTTTAACGCAATGATCCCTGAGGGCAGTAATGATATTTGCTATTAATTTTTTTTTATCTCTCCTCCCTAAAGTTATCAAGAAAACATACAATTCATTGTTTAATAACCATTGTCCCTCACTGGCCATTTGGAAAGCCTCTAGTAGGGAAATTGTTGTTGCTGTTTTATTTAATATTTAATTTTTTTTTAGCAGGGGGATTGTTCCATACTTGGTTCAGAATTAAAATGGAAGCAAGGGTACTTATACCACAGCTAACATGATGGTTAAGGTGTGTTTTGGTGATAAACAGACCTACTCTTGAATTCAGCTTCTGTGGCCAAGCAGTTTGGTTTGTAGCAAAGTTACCTTACTTTTCTCGGTAAGAGATTCCACATCTGCAAGTTAGGAATAATAATAATACCAACTCAAGTTGGTATCTTTTGGTGTTTGGCTTTTTACTCATACTGTTTTTGAGATCCAGCCATGTTATTGCATTTTTCAGTAGAATGTGTCTTTTCATTGACTTGTGTTCCATTTTGTGAAATGTGTCAGAGTTCATCCATTTTCCTAATGAGGGACTTCTGAGTTGTTTTCAGCATTGGATCATTATAAGTAAAACTACTATAAACATGTGTGGATAAATGTTTTCAATCCTCTTGGATAAATACTTAGGACTAGAGTTGCTAAATCTTAGGGTAAACAGTTGTATAACTTCATAATAAGCTGCCAGATGATTTTTCAGAGTTTGGAGTATCTTACACTTCTGCCAGTACTATATGAGAGTTCCAGTTATTCCTAACTTTTGGTGACTTTTAGCCATTCTGATAGGTGTGTAGTGGTATCTCTGTGTTTTGAATTTGCATTTCTCTGATGACAAATTACGTTAAACACCACTGTTCATGTTTATTGGTCATTCCATATCTTGTTTTATGAAGTGCCACTTCTTGTACATGTTAGATATATGTGTTATAAATATTATCTCCCACTCTGTAGGCTACTTTCTTAGTTTGTTGTTGTTGTTGTTGTTGTTGCTGTTTGATGAGTAGATGCTTTTAATTTTCATGAAATTCAATTTATATTCCCCCCTCTATGGTTTGCCTCCTGAAATTATACACACTTAACTGTATCAATCATTAAATCATTAATATTCTTAGAGCTTCTTGGTTTTTAGACATGAGGTTTTTAAAAAACATCCTTCTTTTTCAGAGATCAGGGAACAGATTTAGCAGTGATTTTAAATTTTATTTGGAGAGCTTGTTTAAAAAAACAAGATTCCTGGACTTCATTCCAAGAGGTTCTGACTTAAGTCTGGAGAAGGATCTGAGGATTTGCATGCCTAACAAGTTTAGGCAATGCCAATGCTGCTGGTTTATGTACCACACTTTGAAAAGCATTGACTTAGAAAACTTAAATGGCTTTTCTAATGATCATGAAGAAGTTTGTCTTTTCTAAAGTCTGAGCCCATAGCCACTAATTTATACTGTCTTCACTTGAAAAGACATCTGAAAAATCTGCTCAGGGCACTGGAGCATGGGAGCCAGGAAGCATTATGGTAGATTGATATACCAACATTGCCTCATTTCCTTCTTCCTTCCAGGAAATTGGGTTTCGGTCTGTGAGCGGGGACATGTACCTATCTCTACACACTACAGCTGAATCTAGCCTTGTGATAAATGTGCACTGCAAACTAGACGTTCTTCTCCCTGTATGCTCTGTCAACAATCAGAGAGAGCTTTATTTTCCCCTGAAGGGTTGATCAGTCTTTAAACCAGGAACATTTTTATGGCCAAGTCCTTTAAAACTTTCTCTGCTAAATTTATGTTTCAAGTAGTCGGCATCGAGGTGAATATTCTTGACACAACACAGGCATCCTGAATTAAAGATCAACACTCTTAAAGCAAAGAACTCCGTCATCAAAATCCAACCCAAACCCCTAAGCTTCTCTAGATTTTTAGGACAAGCAGAGAAGAGCTTTTTAGCTTTCCTTTCTGAAATATCAAGGATGTGTAGGCAGAGAACTGTACTGCAACTATACATCTATTATGTAGAATGTTTGTACTTGTGCAAGGACTCAAAAACGGTTCACTGTATGCATTTTCCTTCTGACTGTTAAATTACCTATTTAGCCTTTGAAACCATGTTAATGGTAAATGAATTCATAAATAGTATGTATACTTAAACTGCTTTACGGATGCACTGATTCAAAGAGGGAAAAATAATTTATCTTCTTTAGGGAAAAAAAAATTCTCCTGAACAAAGAGAAGCGTCTATTTAAATGCCACCCTCACATTTCACCAGTCTCTTAGCATTTTTTCATAGGTACTATCGGCAATGTGAATATCAGAGCTCAATAATTTCTGCATGGGCATTGGAGGAGTTTACCAAAATCAGATAGAAAGTATGTGTGCTTCATCCTCAAACAGGTCTATACATAATCGGCCAAAAGTATATGCCACCCTTATTCTAGCAGTGAGAAATCCAGAGGTAAAATGAAAGCAGGCCTGTGGCTGGAACTAATTTGCTTTCCATCAGCTCTGGACTTCTCGTTGCACAAATAATGACATATGGTAGCCTTATGTGACATGAGAAGGCAGGCAACGCAACACCTTAGCTACATTGTTCTCCCAGTTCCCGGAAGCCTTTAGATTGAGGTTTTCCCTTTTTCTTTTTTCTTTTTTTAAAGGAAATTAAAATGATAACAAATGAGTTATCAGTAGAATTGTCATAGACAATCTACAGTTTCTCTTGGACATGCCATGTGGTCCCAGAAAGTTAAACCACATTGTCCCAGCACTCTTAACCAGCAGTGTACGCAATCCTACTATTCTATACAGTAGGGAAGCGGAGAGACTTAGATTCTAACAAGTCTGGGAATGAGTCTGCTCCCTGACCCTTCCTTGCTACAAAGCCTTAGAAAACCTTTTTTTACGTATCTCTCCTTTGGTTTCCCAGACCAGAAATCCCTATTCTAGATGGATGTTATCAGTCGTACTTGTGATTTTTCCCCCCAAAACTTATAGGGCAATACCTGACTCTCAGTAAACACACCATTAATGGATTCTCTCTCTTTCCTCCATTTGTCCCTACACACACACACACACACACACACACAGACACATAGAGAGTAGACACCACTCTAATTACGTAACATATATGTTATACATATGTGCGTATGTGTGTATACACAAACACACAATTATTATTGTAACCAGAAAAAAAAATGGGACCTCTTTAACTACAACTTCAAGTCTGCCAGCATGGGTGCGTATCCAAAAGAAATATAAAGAAAGCTCCTTCAAAGACCTTAAGATATAATGCAATGCTTTGCCTACGTTTCTGTGGATAATGAAAAATAGAAGTTGCATATTATACAGCATCAATTCTCATCTCTAGATCTGAAGTCTTATCACGTAGGCGCCAGTCCCAATTTCTCTTTTGTTTCGATCAGAGATACCTACACAAATCTCTCCCTTCGCTGTGTCTTACTGCCCTCTGGTCACCTCTTTGTCACCGAGACAACACAGACTTCAGTTTCTCCCATTATGTCTTTATCCCAACACATCCCACAAGCTGGTAGCAAAAGATAAGGTCATTGCTTAAAAGGAGGAAGGGAAAAAGAAGAAAACGGATGAGGAGGAGAAAAGGCTGTGAAAATGATTAAGTGTCTTTAAATGTATTTTCCTCAAAAAATAAGAGGTCAAAATCACAAGTGCTTACCTTAGCGGTCTTAATCTTCCTGAGTCTTGAATGCAGATCTCAGGGCGACATTGGAGTTGAGATCATTCCCTCGGGCCAGCACCAGAGAGAGTTTTCTTAACCTCCACAGGGGTCCAGTACCACCTTCTCCACAGCCCGGAGGATGGAGGTTTCTTTCACGTCTGCAAAATTACAGGAAAAAGATGTTAATAAAAACAAACAAAAAAGACAATCGTGATATTAAATTCAAGACCATTTGAGGAAACTAAACAGAAGATACATTAAATTTTGATTCGATTGGCATAAATGCATAACACCTAAATGGATTCAGTCTTGTTTAGAATCATGGAATCATACAAAATCAGGAAAAGCCATAGTATATCAAGACAGGGAGGATTTTTTAGGGCATTACTAGCCAATTTTGCTCATTTAACTTACAGGGAAACTGAAGATCAGAGAGGGAAAGTGATTTCCCCTTGGTGATTGTTACCCGTGGCATATTTCAACCAGTGAAGCAGGCAAATGTTTAGTAAACACACACAAGGTGCTTAATGCTGTGGTCTAGGCTGAACCAAGACAAGGGGACAATGTGCCACTTCATCTTGAAATATTTCTTTCACTTGGCCTCTAAGACACCAAACCTGCCTGTTATCACTGGCTGCTCCATCTCGGCTAACTCTGTTAGTCTTCCTACTTTATTCCTTCAGTCAAGGGCAAGTCCGTTCACCCTGCTGGTCAGCCTAAACCCTTCCAGTCAACCTTGACTCCCCTCTCATATACACCTCACCCCATCGGCAAATTCTGGTGGCATTATTTTCACAATAAATCCAGCGGCTGATGACTCGCACCTCTTCCATTATTGTCACCCTAGTCCAAGGTACCACTACAGATCTATACCACTACAAGAAGGCTGGCACTCTCAATTAGACCCTTGAGTAAATAGTGACATTCCCTGGCTCAAAACCTTCCCTATCATCTAGAATAAAAATCAAAGTCATTGCAATGGCCAAAAAGGCCTCTCCATGGTGCAGCTCTGTCACCACTGTCTTTGTCTCTCACTCCTCTCTCCTCCTCTCCTCTCATTTATCCCTCTCCAGCCATGCTGGCCTAGCTGTTCCTCTAACTCCACTTGAGACTCAGGCACTCACAGGTCTCTTTATCTGAAATGCTCTTTTTCCCTTGCTATGTTATATCACTGTTCCAATGTTACCTTTTCAGTGAGACAGGCTCCCTTATTCTGAGCAGTCTAAGAATTATTAAGAAATAGAGTGCAATATTTAAGAATGAGGTTTGAGAATAATCATAGTATTCACATCCTGGTTCCACCATTATGAAATGCTGACAAAGACACTCTAGCTCTCTAAATATCTAATTTTTCTATGAAAGTGAGATGATAAAAATAGCTATCCATTTAGAATGCTTATGAAAATGAAACAAGGCAACATAGTTAAATCATTCATTACTATGTGGGATATAAGTACTCAATAAATGTTTACTGCTTGTTTTTATTTTTATTTTTATTGTTGTAGGCTTACATTCTGCATGATAGTACATAATTTTATCTACCTGCATTTCACCACCCCACCAGAATCTGAGTCTTTTCCATCTTATATCACATGTAATTGCTATTGAGGCCCTTGGTGACTTTGGGCAACTTTCTCTGAACCATCGCTAGGCTCAGACAAGTATCATTACCCCAACTGCCCCCACCTTCTGGAGGCAGATGGGAGAACTTTATAACATGGTTCATTTCCTATCCTCTTGCTGATGCCTGGCAATTTGAAGATGATCTTGGCCCTGGTATTATAGCAGGCTGATAATCGTCAAGCCACAGTCTACAATTATTCCTGCACTCCAAAGCCAAGAAACACAACTTTGAAAGCAAACAATGCTGTAATTCAGCACAATGATATATGGAGTTATTAAAGAAATTGTGCTGACTGCTTTGAGAATTCAAGTCTCCAGTCTATCCAAATGCATCTTTCTTTATTTTTGTCCCAACTAATATTAAGAAACTGTCTATTTTCAGGAGTAGCAACATAAAAATATGTCACCTATCTTTCAGGTTTAGTTAGACTACTACCTAATAAAAAGTGAAGACGCATCAGGGAAAACTTATAATCCATTCTAAGACACTGAAGGACTTGCTAAAAATGCATTCACTAACAAATGTTTCCTGAAAACACAATATTTGCCATGCACTTTGTTAAGGACTGGGGAGATGTGAGAAATATTAAATACTTCACTCCTACTTTTGCGAAGATTTCATTCTAGCAGGTCTTTGTCTTTTGCGGTTTCCTGACTTCTGCTCAGACTTGGAAAGACATGACAAACTCCAGAAAAGTTGTTGATTTGCCCAAGTAGTGATACAGGGTGAGCCTATATAAATAGTCTCATATCTGCTTGATAAATAGAGAAAATTTTGTAATTCTTGGTTTTCTCGGGAAGTAAGCTCATTTTAGTTACTTCACACCCCTATCCAACATACACCTCTTCTGAGTTGATCCCGGTTTATTTCCCTCCTTCTGCAAATAAAAAATAAGTACTCACCAAACCCACAAATACACTATCCATTAAGAAGATGCCACACAGATGGTACGGTACAGAGGGCACTGGGCTCAGAGGACAAAGCTTCAGAAGTTAACATTTTTGAGAACTTTGGAAACTGTAACAGGATTAATGTGGTGTTATAGCAAGATAAACTGAGAAAATATATACTAGGGATATTGTCAAATGGAATAATATCAAGAAAGAACAACAAACATCTTAAATTACCAGTGTCTCCATGAGGAGAGTGTTAATCAACAAGGTGGGTGGCATCTCTGCCTGTCGGCCAGCCTTGAACGCATCAGGGAATCTGTCATTTTTCAAGAGGTATCAATTAGCGGTCGCTCCGATGGCAGAGTATGAACCACACCTCTTTAATGATTGGGCTGGATTGAAAATGATTCCTGTGAGTATAAAATTCTCACAGGCACCAATCCACAAACGCAGCCAGACACACTCCAGAGAGGCCAAGACCAGGGAGAAAGGAGAGGGACATAAAAAAATTGAGAACTCTAAAATGGATCTTGATTAAGTGAAAGTGTGCCAAGGAGAAGGATGAGCTATAACTTAAATCTCTGCCAATAGGGTTAGGTCCTACTGGGACCTGGAGAAACATGGCCATAAAGACGTGCATTTCAAGGAGAACTGTGATTCTAGGTATACCACATATACCATATATACGAATCTGAGCCTCACATACCTACACACGGCATCCACATTGCCGGCAATGCTTTACAACATGTATATTACATTCATTTGCATATAAGGAAGTTGGCATTTGTAGACATTAAGTAATTTACTTGAAATCACATAAGTAGAAAGTAACAGTCAGGATTCAAACTCAGAACCAACCCTGGGCTTATTGGTGTTCCCTAAGCACTCTGAAAATCACAATGAACTCTTTCCTGGACTCTATTTCTAATTAAACCTAGTTCTGATGGTCAGAAATGCCATAGTTTGAACTCCAAAGAAAGAACTTAGTCTCCTAAGAATATAACTGTGAAAACTGGCCAAGTTCAGCCTCTGCCAAGCAGAGTAAAACAGCCGCATAGGAGAGGACATGTTTCTTCTGAAGCCATACAGGAGGTCACACCACCCATGGGAACAGTTGCTTCCTGAGCAGCAGAGATAGTGAGCCAAGTCACCCCTGGCAGTAGGTCTTGGTTTGCAAAATATTAATCACACTTCCTACTGGTCGACATTAACGAAACAATGCTGGGCCCACGAAATGTAAAATACTGAGGGGATCAAGGCATTCGGCTGTAACTGGAATCACTGTATTCTGGCTTAATATTAAACATCTTCCCTTCTACTAATTCCTAGTCCGGATACCACACAACTGAAGTGCTGGGGAATGGAAAAAGGAAATCCATGCCACTTGATTTTAAGGATTATAGAAAACAGCTAGTGCCTTTTAGACACCAGGTGTCTCTTGCCAATGAACTAGCACCTTCTGTCCTTAACTGGTTAGCTTTTTCAACCAAAAGGTGAAATTAAAGGGCCTCTAGAAGAGAAGTCACTGAACACCGCAATGGAATTTTAGAGAATTTCCTAGCATCTGGGTTAACTGCTGATCTGTATTCTTCTTGCTAGTTAATGAAATGTTTACCTTAAATTTCATAAAGTGAGTCAGACACTGACAATTTGTAGGTAGTAACAACAGTGGCTCAGACGTGCTTTTAAAATTTAGTGCTCATGGAGGATAGATGCCCACCTCCACCTCTCTCCATATACACCTATCCTCTATCCCTCCAAGTCTGACATTTGCTATTTTAGATATCTAGAAATACAATTTACTTTAGGAAATTGGTCTTTGTCACCAGAGAAGCAGTACTTGTTCTCAACACAATAGCAAATGTATATATGAGTCCCCTAAATACATCTGCTCTCTGCATGATTTACCTATTCAATCATAACTCCTCATAAACTTCTATACATGTCTGTCAACAGACCATATAGATACCAGCAGAATTCACAATGGCACCATGCTATGATATGTGCCCTCAAATCAAAACAGTAGCTGTTTTGTGCTGCCTCAAACCCAAACGACAGCTGAGTTCACCACACTCCCCTTATCTGCTAGAGTGGGTTCAGACTTGGACCACATGCTTAGATGGATCAGTGATTACATTACCTTGGGCCACTGTAACTGGCTGTTCTCTATGTATTTTCAGATACCAACAAGATAAAGAACACAGTATCACCTTGCCCCAAGAATACTGGCCCCTATTAGTCACACATGTAAATTAGATCAACAGTATTATACCACCATGAACAAGAAGGAAGCAAAAGCCTACTATTTTAAGTGACTAAACAAGGACATTATTTTGCCTTGATACCATAAATTCCAAGGGTAATTACTGGTTAAAAGTATTAGATCCTTGCCTGGGTTTGATTCATGGCTCACCTACCCACTATCTGTATCTTTGGGTGTGTTATTTAACCTCTCAGTGCTTCATGTACGATATAAAAATTATTAAAGTTACACCTCAAAGGGTTCTTTGTGAGGAGTAATTTTAATACAATGGTACTATGTTTGAATACAAGGCATGTATATTATTAATTTATGATGCTATGAATTTTCTTACCTATTAAATGGGCATAATGCCTCAACTGTCTCTTACATAGGAGTCTC